ATCCCGGGCAGTTCTTACACCTAGACTTAGTAACCAAAGAATTGAACAAGTGCAGTGTGGAAACGCCAACCTCAGTATGCTAGAGTTTAGAGGGTTCACAAAAGGATCCCAAGGCAGTACACATACTAGAGGGGGCAGAACTTATTGACTAAGAGTAAAGTGAGAAGTGAAGGACACAAGTTGAAAAGGTTTTAGTAAGAATGTACTTTAACAAAAGTAATTCAATAAAGCTATAGAGGTTGTTTGAAAAAGAGATTGGAGTAGTTAACAAAGTTCTAACACCTTCGGATAGGATCATACACAGCAAGTTCATAGAACCAATTGAATTCAGTAGTCACACATGGGTCAAGGGGGTTTGGGACAAACAGAATATTTGGCTTCAAACACATAACCCAGTAAAGGTCTTAGGACTAGTTTATAAATGCTCAGAAATAGTTAACACTGGCATAGTCACAGAACCAGTCATGAAGAACACAAACACATAGAGAGGTGATAGGGATTTGGGGATCCATGAGATATAGGGTGGTAAGTATACAATAAGTAAGAGACAATTGGTAAGGCATGCTCAGAAACCCACATAAGGGAAATGTACTAATCTAAAGGAAGGGGAAGAAATAATAAAATGTTGATAATGTAACTCTTAACTACAAATTTCACAACAGAACCACAAATAGAAACAAACCAGAAATAAGAGAAACTGAAACAATAGGAGCAGCATGTTGTTGTTGGAACTTTAAATTAAAACTAGGACATAGCAGTGAAGAGGAGTGAAAGAGCAAGAGAGTGGTTAGCCTTGGCTTGCATCCGGCTAACAATAGCAAATAACACGAGAGAGAACAGAGATTTTTCAAAGTAGTAGAGATAGTTTTTGAACCCAAGTGTTCGTATCTGTGCTAATGAAAGACTTACAGTATTTATAGTTGAAAACAGGTAGTAAAAATAAGGTAAGAGTCATAGTAGCATGGTAATTAAAGAACTCAGAATCAGTCAGTCAGAAATCAAGGCAAGTACTCCTTAAGTTAAGGGAATCAAATCAAATGGAAATATTCAGTATCATACAAGGCAAGAAAAAATCAGTACATGACTAAATAAGGAAAGAATCAAGGTTTAGCAAGCATAGAGTAGTCAATTAGGACTAGGTTCAGAAAACTGCACTTAAGGAATAATTCAGTATGTGCAATGTACCACAGCAAATAAGGTAGGGGATCAGTCAATTTAAACAAACGAGGCAAAGTTTTAGGATTTTAAAAGAAAATCTTCCAATCAAATCATCAATTAAGGAAATCAGAATCAATCAGGAGGGAGTCATAATTCTATATTTTAACATATAAATAGAGAAGAATAAACAGACGTAGCAAACATGCAAGGTCATCCATATCGACAGAAAGAAGCAAGAGATGAATAGTCAAGATGAATACAATCATACAGAAGTGATATACGCAGGCCAAAGACTCAGTAAAACCCATTTGAAGCATGGTAACCATAGAACTTAACGAGAATCGAGTAGTCATGCTAACACACAGAACCAAAACAAAGAAGGTCTAAAAAAGATTAGGGCTTTTGACATAGGCGAGTTGAAAAAGCAGTAAGAACATAGAATTAGTAGAGATATGCGAGGAAAGAGGTTTAAACATAAAGAAAAGTCAGTTTAAACAAGTGCAAAAGAAACTCTGAGAAACCATAAATTTAAAGAAAGTAAAAGCGGTTTAAAGTTGATAATTTTTCAAAAGAAGTTTGAGAATAATATAAAACATAGAAAGAAACAGACTTAAATCTTTAAAAAGAGCACAGATCTGAGAGATACAAATGAAAGTTAGGGTTTCAAAGGAAACCCAAATAGAAACAGAAGAACCTGGTTAAACTTCAAAGATCGTAATATATATGGTGTGATTTTGCCCAAAATCACACCGGAAAAGCCGTGAACACCCAAACCAGAAACCCTAGATACAAATCGGCATGGCATAGGGCCCTTGGAGGCTTGGGGTTGAAAGATGGTTGCCGGAAATGGCCGGAGAGGGAGGCAGTGGTTGAAGAAAGATTAGGGTTAGGTTGAGAAAGAAGAGAGCGGCGAGAGCATCTGAAGGCGGCGGATTTGGGAAATGACCTAGGGTTAGGGGGTTGTATGAATTGAAAAAGGTAAGAAGTGAGAGGATTTAATCGGGTAAATGGGTTCCGGGTTTGGGTAGGAGTTTATAGGGGCCTGGGTTGGGTATTTTAATCTGAAATTGGGCTGGGGACTACGTCCAATTTGGCTAAAATTGAAAGCCAAATCTGTCTATAAATTAAATAGCTAATTTTTCCTATATTAATTTATAATAAATAATAAATAGTTTTATGAAAATAATTTTCTATACCAAAAAAGATTTAAAATATGTAATTATCATTTTAAAAATATAGGGGCCAATTTTACACATATAAAATATAATTATACATCAAAAGGGATAATATTGCAATTATATGCAATTTAACTTAAAAAATAATAAATGTAATTATAAGAATGCATGAAAAATATATTAGCCATATTTTGGCATAAGTATAGAAATTAAATGAATAAATCATCATAACAATAATTTTGCGAATAATTATTGGGGATTTTATGAATAAAAGGGGAGAAAATAAATTAATTTAAATCCTTAAAATTATGGAAAAAATTATAAAACCTTGTGTATGCTTTACAAATGCATATATATGTTATTTTGAAGGTATTTATGCATATTTAAAATATATAAGAAAAAATTGGGTATCAACAACAACCCCTCTTTACCTCGAAAGGATGAAAGAGTTTTCGGGTAAAGAAATGATGGCCAATTTTGACCGGATGGGATGTTTTGAAAGACAAAGGCCGAAATCCAATTTTCGAGTTACCTACATATCCCCGATTTTACAGGAATCAGGCCATGTGTAGTTCTGGATTTACCTGCAGAGTATGCCGATGGAACTACTGTATGAACGGAACACGAGATGTGGAAGTAGTTATGATGAGCGGTTAAGGCTCGGGACAGTTGGAGGGAACTGGAGTGATATCTCTCCTGCTAGGATAGCGGTTGCTTGCTGGTTACCTGCAGATAAAAGATGCTACAAATGTATTTACGAAAATTTAAACATGATGCAAACTCCCTTTGGACCACGAAGGTTGTTTTCGGACGGTTAAAGATGATGTCCTTGGACAATGATGTCCTGGGCCATGAATTGTCTAGTAAGGGATGAAATGGTGTTCTTGGGTCATGAAAATGATGCCTCTAAACCATGACGTCTTTGAATAATGATATGCAAGTTCGAGAGATCCTCAGGCCATAGCATGGTGTCTTCCGGCTATGAGGATGGTGCCTTTGGGCAAATTGGCAATGTTTCAGCCCATGATATGTAATAATATGATATAACAAGACAAGGCTTAGTCTTGCGAAGTGGAGGGCAGAGCTTAGCCCGATTGAAAAGCAAGTAGATAGTAGTAGAAATAGAGCGATATCCGTGCAAAGAAGGGACAATACTTAGTCCCGTGCAAGTGGGGAGGCAAAGATTAGCCTTATGCAAATACGGAGTCCGGGGTTAGACTCACGCAACTATGGAGTCAAGGATTAGACTTATGCAAAAGTGGAGTCAGAGATTAGACTCATGCAAAAGGGAGGCAGAGGTTAGCCTCTTGCAAATATGGAGACTGGGATTAGACTCGTGCAAATATGGAGTCAGGGATTAGACTCATGCAAGATTGGAGACAAGGCTTAGTCTCATGCAGAGAGAAGGCAGTGCTTAGCCTTATGCAAATATGAAGGTAGAGCTTAACCCCATGCAAGGATTCGGGACAAGGCTTAGTCCCATGTAAATGGGGAGTCAGAGATTAGACTTATGCAAGATTGGAGACATGGCTTAGTCTCATGCAAAAGAGAAGGCAGTGCTTGGCCTTATGCAAATATGGATGTAGAGCTTAACCTCATGCAAGATTCGGGACAAGGCTTAGTCCCATGCAAATGGAAGGCAATGCTTAGCCTTATGCAAATATGGAGTCCGCGATAAAACTCATGCAAGATTGGAGACAAAGCTTAGTCTCATGCAAATGTGGAGTAAGAGATTAGACTCATGCAGTTTTGGAGTCAGAGATTAGACTCATGCAGTTTTGGAGTCAGAGATTAGACTTATGCAAATGTGGAGTCAGAGATTAGACTCATGCAAATATGGAGTCAAAGATTAGATTCATGCAAAGAGAAGCGGTGTTTAGCCTTATGCAAATATGGAGTCAAAGATTAGATTCATGCAAAGAGAAGCGGTGTTTAGCCTTATGCAAATATGGAAGTAGAGCTTAACCTCATGCAAGATTCGGGAAAGGGCTTAGTCCCATGCAAATGGAGGCAATGCTTAGCCTTATGCAAATATGGAAGTAGAGCTTAACCTCATGCAAAGAGAAGACAGTGCTTAGCCTTATGCAAATATGGAGTCCGGGATTAGACTCATGCAAGATTGGAGATAGAGCTTAGTCTCATGCAAATGTGGAGTCAGAGATTAGACTCATGCAGTTATGGAGTCAGAGATTAGACTCATGCAAAGAGAGAATAGCAGATAAGGGTAGAGTATGTCTTAGCTGGAGGTATATTTAGTGTCTGACGACCGGATGGATGGTGAGTTTGCTTTGTGTACGAATGCTACCATTACGTCAAATGTGCCTGCGTTCAAAGAAAAATCGTAAGTTTTATGAGGGGAAGTTGGTTCTTGCTTTGTCTGCCGGCCTTGCTCCGCCGCTACAAAAAAAACTTGATTTAGCGACGGATTTCTGCGACAAATACTTTTCCATTGCTAAGTAGCGACGGATTAACTACGAAAATAGAGTTTGGTCGCAGAAAAAGTAAATAGAGGAATTAGTATCTAATTAAGCGACAACATAGTGACCAAACAAAACATCCGTCGCTAAAAAATGGCGCTAAATATTGGCGCCCATAATTTAGCAACAAAATAAGCGAGGAAATCTGGATGACAAAATTACATTTTAGCGACGTAGTTAGCGACGGACCGTGTTTGTCGCTAATCTTGCTTCTTTAATGAGACTATCGTTCCCTTGTTGCAACAGAATTGTTTGTCGCTAGGTATTAAAAAACAGGCATCTAATATTTTCACTTTGTCATAAGACCCTCCCTCACAGTAACGAGCCCCTTTCCTTCTTCGTGAGTAACGAGCCCTTTCCTCCTCCTTCTTCTTCTTCTCCTCTAATCTTCAACTAATCTTCCCAGATGCACTACTAAGTCATTTCTTTTTTAAAGACTGGTATGTCTCTACTTCTTTCTCTGTTTATTAGCAAATTTTTTAAAGTAAATTTTGTAGGGTTTTGGTAGATGTAAAATAAATCAAGCATTTTACCTCTTCCCTCTTTTTCTTTGTAGTATGTCAAATATGAAGTAGGAGTTGACATATTCTGGGTATGTCTCATTTGTGCATAAATATGTATATTTTTACTACTTACTGTTGCTAAAATCTGATTTGGGGGTTTCTTTTGTGTTGAAATCTTGATTTATACGAATTTTGGTGATATTTGGTGATTAAAATCGAAGTTAGGTGTCTTTAGATCTGTGTGATCGAAGTTAGCCTTCACTCACCCAAAATCCCCTAAGGACGATGAAGGCGTTTACTTCTTTTTTTACCTTTGTTTTTAATGCATTGAGTTCTCAAAAAGATTTGTACATTTCAACTGATGATTACTCAAAATGACAAAGCTATTTGGGTAATGTTATTAGTACTCTTTGTATGATTATTTCGAGTTTCATGCTTTTCACTGAGGTAGAGTATGAAGGTGTCCCCACCTCTTGTAAAGACTGCAAAATTCAGGTGCACTTTACTTCTGAGAATAAGGCTTGCTGAAGAATCTGACTACGGATAGAAAACTACATAAGCCTATGCATATAATATGATACTTTTCTGGGAAGATGATTGTGAATATGAAAATCACATCGATGGCATTAAGGACAATAGTACAAGTGAGCACACTAATATAGTACAATACAACATATTTATGAGCTGAGCTTCCACCTCTAGGTGATAATTCTTGCATTTATGATGAGCTCATCAAGGCATGGCATCACTACTCTAGAGTGACATGGGCTCAAATAAGGTTGCTTGTGCTCTAAATACTAGTATTAGACACATCAGTTATTAGCTTTTCACATAGCACTTGGAAATTGTATTTTCACTTCAAACTGGTAATATATGGTTTTGATACTTGTTGGAAGTTGTTGCGGCCACTACAGTACAAGATCTAACTACAGTATATTATAATGTTTGGATATGTACATCTTTAACTCCAAAATAATCATTATAAAATATGATAGATACATATTTTTAAATCTATAAAGAGTTAGCAATACTAACTGCATTTGATGCTTCTGGCACATTAGTCTGCCTCTTACCAGTGGTGTTTAGCCCAGCTCTTATAGGAATAACATTAGAAACCATAGCTCCTTGAATCACTGATTCAACAACATTAGTAGCAGCTCGATTAGCTGTTGTATTCAACGCACCAGCAGTAGCAACAATAGGTTTCAAACTCCCAAAAGCAGTATGCTCAACTCCAGCTAAAAGTTGAAGATGTTTAGCCTATATATTTGATGCTTTAGAACCTGTAGTAGCTGCACACTTCAAAGCCATAACACCTACATGATCTTGCCCAGTAGCTTTAAGGCCTGCTGATTTATCAGCTGATTCACCAACTACAGCAGCAGGTTGATCGCGCACCAAATTTTTAGGCAATTGATCCTCCTTGATCACTTCCTTATCACCTGTAAGAAATTGTAACATTCACTCCTGTTGCATTCACAGCACTAGTAGTCTCCAAACTTGCATTCACAGCCTGTGAAACACCATCCATAGGCCGCACAATATGCCCAGCTGTAGCTAAGTCCTGTGAAATTATCCCCAAGGTTGTTTTAACAGGAACATCATTAATATTCCTAGCAACAGTTGCTGTATTTAGTAGCTTATTAGCATCAGATCCTTGACATCCAACGAGTGAATTATCACCCATTATTATTAGCTGCATCCAAACCTTTTCCTTGAATTAGGTTACTGATTTGTATTTTTATTTTTTTCTATTTCCTTGGAATATGAGCTGTGTAGCTTTTTGCATCTGTACCTTTGTAGTTCTTCATATTACAATATAAATCTATGTGGCATTCTTTTTGCATCCGTCTGACTAAATTTATTTTTTCTCAGCTTCAATTCAGGAAACGGTACGAAACAATCTCAAAGATTTCTGAGGGATTAGTTAAGGTATTGGTATCTTTCTATTAACTTATACGTAGGTCTTAATTTATTTTGTTTGACATATATTTTACTCTCACTATCTCTCTCCTCTCTCCCCTCCCGCTTCCCTTCTTTTCTTGTTCTTCTTAGCGCTTTCTTAAAATGAAATGTCAATGTTATTTAGAATTTTAGCTTTTTCACAAATGGTTAATCTTACATATAGTCACAACTAGAGATGCAAGATAATTTTTAATTGTCTTAAATATTCGCATAGCTTACATTAGCTTTCAAATGTATTTGTGATGTTCTGATGTATTTGAGATTGTTTATATGTAGTGACTGCTAGGGATTTATTTGTGATGTTCTGATGTACCTTAGCTTTCCGATGTGTTTGCGATCTATTTAATTTTACATTAGCTTCTCGATGTATCTTTGATGTTCTTTTTCTTTAATCATTTATGGGTTATAAAATAAAAATAACTACTTGAGTTTTTTTGCTGCCATGTATTTTGGTTTCTTTCCTTCGTGCATTAAAAGGCAGTACTAGGTGTTTGGTAAGGTTAAGTATATCTTTTCTTTACTTTATTCTTGTGTAATACTTATAAAAAAATAATAATATTTGTTTGTCTTTTTAATTTTAATATTAAATAGGAAAATGGAGAATCTAGAGCGTGGTTGGATGTATGAGAGGTAGGATGGACGAGGGGGTATTAATTCTTGTTACATATTCGGTGTGGATAAGTTTCTCCACTTTGCACGTTCTCAACGAAATCGCATGAGTGGTGACAATGTTAGATGTCCTTGTAAAAAATGTCACAATATTAAATACATGGATGTTGAAACCGTTAGATTACACCTTTTGCAATTTTGGATTTGTTGAGAATTATTTTGTTTGGATATATCAAGGGGAAATATGTCTGACAAATGAGTTGTCTTCTAGTAGTAACTTGAATAGTGGTGCTCAACCAGAACTTGGATATGAGAATCCATACCGACGAATGATTCTTGATATAGCTGGGCCTAGCCAGGGTTCAACTTGGCAATCTGATAGTAATGTTGAACCTGAGTCATCTCATCCTTATGAACCTTCAATGGAGGAGGATCCTAATCCTGAATCCCGGAAGTTCTATGATTTGCTACAGGCTGCCGATGCAGAATTGTATCCTGGTACTTCTCTCTCTCAACTTGCAGTAGTTTCTAGGATGTTAAACATTAAAATGGTGAATTCTTTATCACAAAGGGGTTATGACCAAATGATGCAATTGTTTAAAGAGGCTTTACCTAAAAATAACATATTGCTTGATAACTATTATCAAACTAAGAAGCTAGTGCGTAGCTTGGGTTTGCCCGTTGAAAAGATTGATTGTTGTAATTCAGGATGTATGTTGTACTGGGGTGAGGACGAGGACCTCACATCTTGTAAATTTTGTGGCTATGAGAGATATAAGCGCCGTGTCGGCTCTCGTAAGAGGAAATTGGTGCCTTACAAGAAAATGTATTACTTTCCTTTGATTCCTAGATTGCGGAGATTATATGCATCCCATGCTACAACAGCTGACATGAGATGACATCATGAGCATAAACAAGAGGAGGGGGTATTGCGTCATCCATCAGACTCTGAGGCTTGGAAGCACTTTAATGAAACTCATTCTTTTTTTGTTGCTGAACCAAGAAATGGGAGGCTGGGGTTATGTACAGATGGTTTCCAGCCATTTGGTCAATCTGGGAGGAAATATTCTTCGTGGCCAGTGATTGTCACTCCATACAATTTACCTCCGTGGATGTGTATGAAGGAGGCATATATGTTTTTAACTGTCATTGTTCCAGGACCAACCAATCCTAAGCAAAAAATTGATGTTTATCTACAACCTCTAATAAAAGAACTGACATTGTTATGGGAGGAGGGTGTAGAAGCATTTGACATCTCAAAAAAGCAAAACTTTCAATTAAGGGCAGCTTTGATGTGGACAATCAGTGACTTTCCAGCATATTCTATGTTATCAGGATGGAGTACCGCAGGGAAGTTAGCATGTCCTTACTGTATGGGGGAAGCACAATCTTTTAGATTACATCATGGTGGCAAAATATCTTGGTTTGACAGTCATAGAATGTTTCTTGACCAAAATCATCCATTTAGGAAAGGTCGTAAAAACTTTCTTAAAGGTCAGACCGTCAGCGACCACCAACCTTTAGAACGGGAGAGGAAATTTTGAACCAAATTAGTGAATTGGGGATAAGGAAAGTGACAGAGCTGGATGCAGAAGAAGTTAATCGGAGGATATGTAAATCTTGTGGATGGAAAAAAAAGTATCTTTTGGGATTTGCCTTATTGGAGTTCCAACATGATTCGACATAATCTTGACGTCATGCATATTGAAAAGAATGTCTTTGATAATGTTTTTAACACAGTTCTTAATGTTAAAGACAAAACCAAAGACAATCCAAAAGCACGTCTAGATATGGTAGAATACTGTGATCGACCTCATTTGGAAAAGAATGCAAGTGGAAGCTATCCCAAAGCTGCATATACAATAGACAAGGCAGCAACAGATATCTTGTTTGATTGGGTGAAAGGTTTGAAGTTTCCAGATGGGTATGTTTCGAATTTGAGTCGATGTCTAGACACGACCAAGTATAGGTTATTTGGCATGAAAAGTTATGATTGCCATGTGTTCATGCACGATTAATGCCTATTACCTTTCGTGAGCTACTTCCTAATAATGTGTGGCAAGCACTTACAGAATTAAGCTTATTTTTTAAAGATCTTTCTTCGACGACTCTACGAGTTGCTGAAATGGAGTGATTAGAGGTAGACATCCCACAAATCTTGTGTAAGTTAGAACGTATCTTTCCCCCTGGGTTCTTTAACTCAATGGAACATTTACATGTGCACCTTCCATATGAAGCAAGGATTGCTGGACCTGTACAATACCTATGGATGTATCCTTTTGAGAGGTAAATATAAAATTTTTATGTCCTAATTATAAACTTATGCTACATATGACTTTTCTCATTTACTGGTCCATCCATTTATCCATATAGGTACCTTGGAACTCTTAAAAAATGATTGGGAATAAAGCCAATGTCGAAGGTTCCATTTGTGAAGCATACTTGATGATAGAGTCAACACAATTGTTCTCTCATTATTTTGAACCTCATGTCATGACACGTAATCATAATGCGGCCTGTAATGATGATAGTGGTGTTGTGAAAGATCTTGAAGGAAATTTATCAATATTCACCCATCCAGGGCGACTATGGGGAGAAGCAAAAAAGAGAAATTTATCCCTTGACGAAATCAAGGCTGCCCAAACTTATATTCTACTAAATTGTAAAGAAGTTGAGCCATTTGTGAGGTAACATTTAAAAGTTATACTTTCTTAATATGATAAACGTATCCATATATAGTGAATATATATTTTAACTTATTTTATTGAAATGAAGTATGTACGTGGAACGTTTGCAAGAAGAACTCCCGAATCTATCTCAAGATCAAATAGATGAAAGCCTCCAAACATATTTCGCTGAATGGTTCAAGGGATATGTAAGCCTCCAACAATCATTTTCTTTTATAAAATAATTTACTCAAGTTAACTTGTGAAATTTAAATAAGTCTTACAATTTTTCTTAAATAGGTTTGCTGTAATCATATTGAGAATGAATTCTTGCGAAGCCTTGCTCATGGACCATTAATAAGTGTGAAATGCCATTCAGTGTATTTTGTTAATGGATACAAATTTTACACTGAATGCCATGTTAGTGTAAGATCAACAATGAATAGTGGAGTTTGTATCACATATCCAAATGTTGGTGACTACTATGGAAAGATACAAGAGCTTAAACAAGTGGAATACCGTGAAGAACCTTTAAAGCAAACTGTGTTATTCAAATGTGAATGGTTTGACCCAACTATTAATGTAGGTGTTAAAAAGCATAATGAGTACAAATTGGTCGATGTTAACCATCGTCGTCGATTTAAGAAATATGAACCTTTTATTCTTGCGATGCAAGCAACTCAAGTGTGTTATGTGTCTTATCCTAGCAAGAAAAAAGACAAGGATGATTGGTTATCTGTATTAAAAGTCAAACCTCGGAATATTGTAGAATTACCCGATGAGGAATCGCCAACAATTTCAGAACCGAATCTCCCGTTCCAAGTTGATGAAGTTGAAGTCCATGAGATAAATATGAATATTGTCGTTGATGAAACTGTAATCTTGCATGATCCAGATGGTGTGATAATTGAAATGGATGAACCGTTTGATGATGGATTATTGCCAGAGCATCATGATACTGAAGAAGAGTATGAAACTGAAGAAGTGTATGAAACTCAAGAAACTGAGGAGGATGAGGAAGAGTTTGAAGAAGAAATAGATAGTGACTAGTGTGTTAAAAAATTATGCTACTATATCTCTTTGTATTTTATTTGTAGTAATCTGTGTTGTATGCTATAACTTATGTGCAAGAATATATATGTATATTTTAGTTGTCTTTAATGTCCAAGCTTTCATTCATTTTCTTAAATCATTGCTTACTATAAAACTGAAAGTCTAAAATAATTCTATGATTTTGCACGAATTACTTAGCTGTCTATTATTGATGTCTCTGCTATGAAGTAGGGAATTGAGAGGGCTTACATAATCTATTTACTTTATTTGATCAACCAGAATCCTTTTAAAATAGCTAAAATGAATCAAATAAATGAAGGGATCAACTCTTGAAGATGCTGTTTAAAGTTTTACTCCTAAGCTATTGTTATATGTTCTTAACAGGCATATTTTGAGTAGTACACATTTTAAGCATAGCACTGGCAATGTTTTTCAGTTCTTTCACTGGCCACAGAAAGACAGGTCTGATTTCATAGCAAGTGATGTTAAAATTAAGAAGCAATTACAAAGTTTCTCAAGAGTAATTCACAACTGAATCTCTGATGCTATTTATATACTTTGAGTCACCCTGTAAAGCAAAGTTTCCTGTATGCACTACTAATAGTCACCCTGTACTGCTTGATTTTCAATTTGCTTATCACTATTTTTTTTACAGATATGACTCGAGGCAGAGGTCGAGGTAGTGCAGGTCGTATAAGCAAGTCCTCTGCTAGGGGTAATTCAGCTACTCATAGGAACATTCCTACTATTCCCATTCCAACAGTTACTCATCAACAAGGTGGTACGAGTTCTTCAAGTAGGCCAAATCATATTAACCAAGTTCAAACATCAGGTCCTAGTAGTACACCTCCAATTCAAACATCAGGTAATAGTAGTACCCCACCTGTTTATGTTGAACCATCTCCGATGACACCTAATCAGAGCAACACAGTAGATGAGGGTATATCACATAATAATGCAATAGGTGAGGGTATATCTACTCAAAGCAATGCAATAGGCGAAGGTGAGTGCAACAGTAGTCTTGCCCAGCAGACTCTTGTTTTTCTTTCTTCTACAGGGTTAGTCCATGCTTCTACTATTTTTTTTATATACTGTTATTGATTTATGATAAGCCTTCAAGTAATGTCTTTAAATTGTCCAGGTTAGAACCTTCCAGATTATGCTCTGAGTATAAATATGAAAATTTCAAGAATGAACTTCATCCTAATGGAATCAATTGGAAAGGTGTCCCAAAAGAGTTAAAAGAATTTTACTTTGGAGAATTCAAGGTATGACATGCCATCAAATTGATTTTACATAGTGTATTAACTTTTATAGAAGTATACTAATGTTACTACTTTACAAAATTATTTCAGAAGGCATTCTATTGGGATTCTTTGATTGATAGAGAAGTGAAGCACCTATGGGGAAGTAAGGCAGCGAGAAGGTACAGTGATTTTATATGCAAAATAAAAAAAGATAAGGATATAATTCAACCAGATTTTGTTCCAAAAGATGTGTGGGACAATTGGATGGAACTATGGAAGGATCCTAAGTGTGTCAAAAAATCAGAAATAAATGCAAAATATCGTTGTGGCGGTGGGACTGCCATTGCTATTGGGACTCATACGGGCGGCTCTATCACCATTGGGGAACATCGCAAAAGAATTGTAAGTATATTCTTCGTAACGGGTAATCACTAGAATTCAGTACACATATTTCAGCTTCTTAATAGGTTGAGTGGAACGGAGGAGCAGTAACTTACTATTAGTAAGTAGGAATATTTGCTAACTTTTGTTGCTCTATGATAGACTGGCTTTGTTATATTTGTGATGTATGCAAATAACAGGAAGCATCTTTAGTTTTTCTATATGTATAGTGGAGGATTTACGGTCATGAATGGCGAGTCTTCTCCTGTGTTTGATTTGATTCTGAGAAGATGGTAAGAAATGCTAGATGGAAGCGAACGACTGACAAGGGGGAATTGTTATTAATTATTTTGGTTTAGAAAATCCAGATTGTGAGTTATTATGGACTATTGTATCCGTGAATTCAATTTATGTGAATAAATAGAAAATTTCCTAAGTATGTGCTAGAGGACAACTTTAATTATTTTGTGACAGAGGAAATCTAGATTGTGAGTCCTCATGGGTATTGTGTACTTGTACTCAGTTAATGTGAATAAATGGAAATTCTCTATGTTTTGGCTTAGTCATTCAAGAACTTACGGTGAAACTTTTTCCGTATGGAATGAAGGACGTATTGTTTCATGGGGAGCAGAGCTTATACTTTTAGATCCATTATGACCAGGAGTTCAATAAATTAGCTAAAAGCTGGAAGTGCGGGTTAGACACACGACACAAGTTTGAATTCTGCCACTAACGGAAGCCTAGTATTTAATGGGAGCTGGGTAGAGGGGCCTAGTTTCAGACCAGCTAACTCACATGTAATCACAAGTGCTTACTGGGAATATAGCCAAAGCCAATGATGTTACATGTAGTTAATAAAAATCCATGGTCTGGTACAACTATGTAGAATTAGAAAATTGTTTTCTGAAAACTGTTTTGTGGCTATTCTTGGTGTACTTGTACTGTTGTATACCTTCTTGGTACCTCCATTAGTAAGCAGTGTCACCTTATCAAAAGAAATTAAGTTCTTCATTTTTTGTATAGGCTATTGAAAAGGGTCGAGATCCAACACCAAGTGAGCTACACTTGCACGTCCATACACATGGTCATGATGAAAAATCTTTTGTTAGTGAGCGATCCCGACTTGTACATGTAAGTCCAAAATTCGATAATTTTACTGACTTTGTATATGACATTAACGCCCCACTTGATTGTTGTTTCCATTAGTAAAGGTGCAATCTTTATCATCATTTTCATCTTGGGTTTCTTCAGAATTGTTACTAATGAGTACTTTGATTCCACCTTTTACTTCATCAAGTTTCATTCTGTTTTCCCAAACAGAACCTGAGGCTACAACACTACTATTATTTCTTGATGATATGCTCTTTTTTCTATTGCCAACTTCCATATTTTCTCCTTTTTTTGGCCCAGTCTATTGATTCAAGATTGTATTTTTGGTTGTGGGGTTTACTGTTTATTGAAGGAGTAATAATGGGATTAAAGGCTTTTAGCTAAAGAAATTGTGTTTGGTGGAAAAGGAAAGTTGTGAAAACAATGGAATCCTCCATATACACTAAATGAAGAACTTAACAGTTAACTTATTTATGCTTTTATCATTTCTTTTCCCCTAATGTTCATGTTCATCATTAATGAATTTCACTAATTATTATGGTATTTACAGGAAAAATATCAGCAAATATTACAGCAACAAACACAAACACAATCTGATATTGATCAATCTTTAGCATTTTATCAAGCCGCGGGAGGGGAAAAGAAGAGAAGAATATATGTATTTTATTAAGAGTATCTTATATATTCTTAAACAATATGTATTTTATTAAATAAAATAAGAAAAATACAATTTGCGACGGATTTTCTTCGTAGCTCTAACTAATATAGAATAACAGGATGCGACAGATTTGCGACAAAAGAATTTCGTCGCTAAAAGAAAGGCAAATATGTCTCAATAATATTAGCGACGGATTAGCTGCAGAAAATATTCGTCGCCAATTAAATCCGACGACGAAATGACTTGTCGATTTGGCAACAAAATTGATGATAATTGCGACGAATATGTGTTGTCGCTAAAAGTAGCAACAGATACCAACCGTAGTTAATTCGTCGCTAACTTACCAATGGATTCAATTTTTTCGTTAGTAAAGGGTTAGCTACGAGCAAAGTAGCGACGAACCAAAATCCGTCGCTATTCCGTCGCTAAACCTGTTTAGCGACGGAAATATACTATTTAGCTACGGAATTCGTTTGTCGCTAAAGTCGGGTTTTTTTGTAGTGCGCTCCGCTTTGGAAGCCCCCTTCGAGTTCCCTTAGGTAGCACCTGACCATTATGAAAAATGAATTTTCGAAAAAATATGCATTCATTGATAAAATAGAATCTTTTTTGGAAGCGTATTGATATATTAAGTAATTTTGATAAACTAGCGACTGCGACATATTTCAAAGGCATTGCAGCTCTCTTATATTGGAATTTTAAGGGTCCTCCTTAAAATTCTATCCCAGTTTGGTAGATGATCTCTAACTGTTTGCGGATGGCGGACCCTGCTGGATTTTTTTCGGAATTTTGAGAATCCTTCTCAAAATTCTACCCCAGTTCTTGACTTATTACCGACTTCCTGGCATATGATGGCGCTGGCTGGACTTGCTCTGGAATTTTGAGGACCCTCCTCAAATTTCTGCCCCTGTTTCTGATTTTGGAGAAAATGAAAATTTTATTATGATATGACCGAACCCATAAGGCTGCCTACGTATCCCATCTTAAACGGGAATCTAGGCATAGTATCTCTTGACTGCGTCTGAATTGATTGGTTTTGGCCAGATCTCTCCATCCATCTCTGCAAGTATGAGTGCTCCTCCTGTTAGTGCTCTGCGAACCATATACGGACCTTGCCAGTTGGGAGAGAATTTCCCTTTGGCTTCATCTTGGTGTGGGAAGATTTTCTTTAATAACAGCTTCCCTGGTGCGAACTGTCTTGGTTTGACCCTTTTGTTGAAAGCTATGGACATTCTTTCTGGTAAAGTTGGCCGTGACATACTGCGTTTATCCTCTTTCCATCAATAAGGGCCAATTGTTCATAGTGTCCCCTTATCCATTCTGCTTCACTGAGCTCGACTTCTTGTATGACTCTTAAAGAGAGAATCTCTACCTCGGCTGAGATGACAGCCTCAGTACCATAAACCAGCATGTAAGGGGTTGCCTCGGTTGACGTGCGAACTGTGGTGCGGTACCCTAACAGAGTAAAGGGTGACTTCTCATGCCACTGCTTGTGATTTTTTACCATTTTCCTTAGTATCTTCTTTATGTTCTTGTTGGCGGCTTCGACAGCTCCATTCATCTGAGGTCTGTAGGTGGTGGAATTCTTATGCTTGATTTTGAAAGTTTCACATATAGCTTTCATCAGATCAATGTTGAGGTTGGCAACATTGTCAGTAATAATGGACTTAGGAACTGCGAATTGGCACACGATACGATCCTTGACAAAATCTGTGACAACTTTCTTAGTTACCACTTTGTAAGATGCAGCCTCTACCCATTTTGTGAAGTAATCAATGGCTACCAGAATAAACCGGTGTTCGTTTGAAAAAGTAGGCTCAATCGGACCGATAATATCCAATCCACAGGCGGCGAATGGCCACGACGAGCTTGTTGCATTGAGCTCATTTGGCGGCATTTTTATCATGTCGGCATGCACTTGAGATTGAAAGCATTTGCGGACATACTGAATACAATCCGTCTCCATGGTTATCCCAAAGTAACCTGCCCTGACTATCTTCTTGGCCAGAATAAAACCATTCATGTGCGAACCAAATGTCCCAGCATGCACATCCTCAAATAGCTTAGAAGCTTCCTTTTTGCATCGACACACCTTAGCAAACCCAAATCTGGAGTTCTTCTATACAAGTTCCCTCCGCTATGGAAGAAGTGGTTTGACAACCTCCGGAGCGTACGTTTTTGAGTGTGATTTGCATGCTTCGGATATTCTCCTTTTGATAAGTATTCCTTGATGTCATGGAACCAAGGTTTTTCATCTGCTTCTTCTTCGACATGAGCATAATACATCGGTTGATTATGGATCCTCACCAAAATGGGATCAATATAGTTCTTATCTAGATGTTGTATCATGGATGACAAAGTGGCTAATGCATCGGCAAACTCATTCTAAATTATGGGCACATGTTGGAATTCTATCTCCGTGAACCTCCTTTTCAATTCCTGCACATGGTGCAGATATGGCAATATCTTGGAATTCTTGGTGGCCCACTCTCTGTGTACCTAGTGTACAAGCAAATCTAAATCCCCGATTACCAACAACTCCTGATTGTTCATGTCGACTGCCATGTTGAGCCCTAATGTATAGGCTTCGTACTCTGCCATGTTATTAGTGTAGGGAAATTTGAGTTTAGCAGATACGGGATAATGCTGACCCATTTCTGACACCAAAACTGCTCCAATGCCTATTCCTTTGAAATTTGCGGCTCCATCAAATAACATCCTTCAACCATCATATGCTTCAGTAATGTCTTCTCCTACGAATGATCCTTCTTCATCAGGGAGATACGTTTTCAAGGGTCGTATTCTCCTCCCACCGGATTTTTATTGAGGTGATCTGCCAATGCTTGTCCCTTGACTGCCTTTTGTGTTACATAAACGATGTCGAACTCACTTAGTAGTGGCTGTCATTTAGCCAACTTCCTAGTAGGCATGGGCTTCTGAAATATGTACTTCAAGGGATTCATCCTGGATATGAGGTATGTAGTGTAGGCACAGAAATAATGCCTCAATTTCTGGGATGTCCAGGTCAAAGCACAACAAGTGCGTTCGAGCAGAGAATACTATGCTTCATAAGGTGTGAATTTCTTACTCAGGTAATATATGTCTTGCTCCTTTCTTCCTGTCTCATCTTATTGTCCCAAAACATATCTGAAGGCTCCATCTAACACGGATAGATAAAGTAGAAAAGGCCGTCCTGGTTCTGGCGGGACTAGAACTGGCGATGTGGACAGGTATTCCTTGATGTTGTCAAAAGCTTTCTGACAATCCTCGGTCCAACTTGTCTCAACATCTTTTCTTAGCATTTTTGAAGATGGGTTCACACATTATTGTGGACTGTGCTATGAACCGACTAATGTAGTTGATCCGTCCCAGGAAGCTCATCACATCCTTTTTGCTTTTAGGTGGTGGTAACTCATAAATAGCTTTGACTTTAGTCGGATCTAGCTCGATCCCTCGGCGACTGACAATGAATCCCAATAACTTTCCTGCGGGAACCCCGAATGCACACTTTGCAGGGTTCAATTTCAAATTGTACCTTCTGAGCCTATCGAAGAATTTCCTCAGGTCTGCTCTGTGATCTGCGGCCCTCTTGGATTTGATAATGACATCGTCCACATATACCTCTATTTCCTTGTGTATCATATCATGAAAGATGGTTGTCATGGCCCTCATGTAAGTAGCCCCAGCATTCTTAAAACCGAATGACATCATCTTGTAACAGTATATGCCCCAAGGCGTAATAAAAGTTGTCTTTTCGGCATCTTCTTCATCCATCCAGATCTGATGATAACCTGCGAAGAAATTTACAAAGGATTGGAGTTCATGCTTGACGCAATTATCGATTAGGATATGTATATTTGGCAGTGGGAAGTCGTCTTTGGGACTAGCTCTATTTAAATCCTGATAATCAACACATACTAGGACCTTCCCGTCTTTCTTCGAAACTGGCACAATGTTAGCTAACCATGTTGGGTACTCAACCACCCTAAGAACCTTGGCTTTGATTTGTTTGGTAACTTCCTCTTTGATTTTCAAACTCATGTCTGGTTTGAATTTTCTGAGTTTCTGCTTGACTGGCGGACACATGGGATTGGTAGGCAACTTGTGAGCTACTATAAATATTCTTAAACCGGTCATATTGTCATACGACTATGCGAAGATATCCTCATATTCTTTAGAAAATGGATGTATTCCGCCTTCTCTGTTGGCGACAAGTGAATGCTGATGCGGGTCTTTTTGATGGTCTTGACGTCTCCTAAATTTACTGCTTATGTTTCGTCCAAGTTGGATTTAGGCCTGTTCTCAAAATTCTCAACTTCTCTGACAATTTCCTCGGGCATCTCATCTTCTTCCTCTGAGTCACTAATCTTATGTTGTGTTGCCTCATTACATGTCATTGTGACTGGTTCATCAGGAAATTAATAATAACACTGTAGAAGGGAAAAGTAAAAAAATAGTAATGAATAAAGATAAATGATAAATGCATTTGATTAAAACTGAGAAATTTGTTCAAACAAAGCTTGGCTTAGTGGATCGAGCATTTATTTTGAAATAGAGAAATCTTGAAAAAAATTGCTGAAAAATTTAAATGCCTAGAATGGCTATAAATTCTGCCAAGCTACCCAGGGACTCGGCGGGCTCAGGATGGTATGGCAGTCCAATTTCTGAGAATAGCTCCCTTTGCCACAGTCTAAATGTTGAGGCCTTCTTCCTCCTCCTCCTTAATTATGGCACTTCAGTCCATATCCTCGTCTTCCAAGAACAAATCCTTCAGCCCAGCTAGTGCTTCCTCTTCTGCAGTTCCCCATATTGTGTCTGCCTAATGAAAAGTTTGTTCTAGATGCGGTACCGGTTGCTTAAGAGGGTAGTACGGTCCACGCCATGGAGGCGACCAGTCCCTGTACCCTTTCCATGTATACTGGTATCCGAGCCCAAAGGTGGTACCATAATTTTTTAGCCGTATCAGCTTGGTGATACCCTGGAGGTTCTTTCCCAACCCTTTGCCTAGTTCATATCCAAACCATGCTAGTATGCTTTCTATTTTGTTGCTCTACCACTTATCCTTCTCGACAACATTGA